ACAACGGACTATACCACTAGGTTTGTGCAAGTACACTCTATGATGTTGAAATCACCTAATGATACATTTCTCAAAACATATCTCAGTCATAAAGTGACACATGACTGTACCTGTATTACAATTACACTATACTGTATCTTTATTTTGACTTCTAAATGCTTTAAAATGGTGTAGCATTATACTAGCAAAATACAAAGTCGTTATTTAACTACTTAGTGCCATGGTTGGAAACAGCAATGAAATTTGGATGTTCCCCATGTCTACACCTACTCTGTCCTTAAGTCAAACCCTTATTTACCTGTAGTTTTTTTAAAATCAAGTATTAAAAGATGACTGTAACAATAAATGCTGTTCCAACTACTAGAAATAGTATTTTAAAAATATGTAGACTGTTACAATACATAGTGTAGCATAAAACTGGCATTTTTTTTCTCATATCTAAGTAAGAGAATTGAAGAATTTTAAACATCCACTGTTCAAAAAAGAAAAGAACTGCTCAGTGATATTACCTGTAGTTTTTTTAAAATCAAGTATTAAAAGATGACTGTAACAATAAATGCTGTTCCAACTACTAGGAATAGTATTTTAAAAATATGTAGACTGTTACAATACATAGTGTAGCATAAAACTGGCATTTTTTTCTCATATCTAAGAGAATTGAAGAATTTTAAACATCCACTGTTCAAAAAAGAAAAGAACTGCTCAGTGATATACAAAGATAAACAAAGCTCAACTGATCAAACTTTTCAAAAGACAGTGGACTCTATCACTAACAAGTAACTTATTTTGTGACAAAATGAAAGCTCATGGAAACATGAAAGAGAACTGGCATATACCAGGTACATCATCAGGAATGCTCAGATTTTATAAACATGAGACTTAAATGGGTTTTCCTTTTTGAGGTTTGTTGCCAAAGCAACATGGAAAACTACAGTGTGCCAGAGAGAATTTGAAAAAAGGTTAAGTTTAGGAGGAGGTAATCAAAATTTTATGTGAGGAATTATGAATGAATACAATGTTACAAGGAGGGTATAACACAAAGAATACAAAAAAGATATACAAAGCAGCAACTTCAGAATGACAGCACAATTTACAAATAAGAAATATATATTCCCCCTTCTATTCATCTCTGCAAGACCCTCCTCCCACCCCATCCCAAACTCCAAAGTAATACTCCCATCCTCCCCTCATTCACTGCCACTGTTTATAAAATTTAAACCACTGGATATGTTCAGAAGTGTATCAGGAAGGAAACAAAAATTAGAGTTAGCAACATCCTCACTCCAATCCCTAAATTTTCCTGTCACTCAAAGAAATGTTTAAATACAAACACCAGTACTACAGCACCAACAATATCCAGTCTTAAAGTCATATGTAACCATTTGCNAGCAATGAAATTTGGATGTTCCCCATGTCTACACCTACTCTGTCCTTAAGTCAAACCCTTATTTACCTGTAGTTTTTTTAAAATCAAGTATTAAAAGATGACTGTAACAATAAATGCTGTTCCAACTACTAGGAATAGTATTTTAAAAATATGTAGACTGTTACAATACATAGTGTAGCATAAAACTGGCATTTTTTTCTCATATCTAAGAGAATTGAAGAATTTTAAACATCCACTGTTCAAAAAAGAAAAGAACTGCTCAGTGATATACAAAGATAAACAAAGCTCAACTGATCAAACTTTTCAAAAGACAGTGGACTCTATCACTAACAAGTAACTTATTTTGTGACAAAATGAAAGCTCATGGAAACATGAAAGAGAACTGGCATATACCAGGTACATCATCAGGAATGCTCAGATTTTATAAACATGAGACTTAAATGGGTTTTCCTTTTTGAGGTTTGTTGCCAAAGCAACATGGAAAACTACAGTGTGCCAGAGAGAATTTGAAAAAAGGTTAAGTTTAGGAGGAGGTAATCAAAATTTTATGTGAGGAATTATGAATGAATACAATGTTACAAGGAGGGTATAACACAAAGAATACAAAAAAGATATACAAAGCAGCAACTTCAGAATGACAGCACAATTTACAAATAAGAAATATATATTCCCCCTTCTATTCATCTCTGCAAGACCCTCCTCCCACCCCATCCCAAACTCCAAAGTAATACTCCCATCCTCCTCTCATTCACTGCCACTGTTTATAAAATTTAAACCACTGGATATGTTCAGAAGTGTATCAGGAAGGAAACAAAAATTAGAGTTAGCAACATCCTCACTCCAATCCCTAAATTTTCCTGTCACTCAAAGAAATGTTTAAATACAAACACCAGTACTACAGCACCAACAATATCCAGTCTTAAAGTCATATGTAACCATTTGCGCAGGGTGCTAGGTCTGGACACTCCCTTACACCAGGCTTGTAACAAATACAATAAAATAGAAGTGTTACGCAAGTGGTTAGAGGTGGTCAAGGATAAGGAAGAAAAATGAAAAGCAGCAATACACAACAGAAGTTAAAGTAAAAAATATCTAGGCCTAAATCATGGTGATAAAGTAAAGGTAACACAGATCAGCATAAGAGATGGTGGATAACCACAAAAATCATATTGCACACCATCCAGCAGGAGATTCCCCCTGGAGAATGTCAACCAAAAGCAGTATGTGTTTCTGAATCATTATCAGTAAAAAGCTTTAAGTTGGTTTTCATGCTGTTTTCTAATACTGTGTAGGACATTTATAGTAAATTTAACTGGCACTGAAGAAACCTGATATATAGTATAAGAGAAA